TAGCAGCACCATGGGTAATAGGTGGTCTCGCTTGTCGTATACACTTGACGGTTACCTGTTGTCTTACTTAACAATTTCACCGCCGCCTGGTAACCAGGGCGCTTGCAGTGACAACCATGGGGCCGGCGTCACTCACAGCGATTAATGAAAAGCCTCCTACGATCACCCCCAAACAACCCATCGCTTGCCCTGAGGGGACGAACACCTGGAACACGATAACAATCGCTAAATTTATGTCCGCTCGGCCCGCAGCTCTGCCGTAGGAGCCGTCGAGGTGATAACCCTCACACCACTATCGGAGCGGGCTCATGTTGGCTAAGGTTATCGCTCAAAGATCATCGGCTATTGTTTTAAACTTCTTCATCTGAAAAAAGCGCTTGTATCCTAGCTGGGTAATTTCCCCCAGAATAGGGCCCTGCCCCACACCCCTTGAAAGATCCTGCCGACGCTGCGTCCGGGGAACACTGACGTCGCCATCGTCGTCATCCCCGTCCGTCTGAAACCCTAACCTTAGTCTAAGGTCGTTCGCTGGGCGAAACGAGGCGTCAGTGAAACGGGGCCTTTGAGACTACGGCGCAAGGTCGGTTGCTGAGTAGCACCGGGGCTCGCCGCGGGGGCCGCTAGTCAGCGACAGACTTGAAATTCGATCGTTTACAACGGTTACCCCGGGGGCTCCCAATTCCCTCGTTGCGAGCCCGCACCAACGTAACTTTAATCACTCTTCGGACTCCCCCTCCTCCACAGATTAATGACGAAAACCTCGTCGATAACTGTGGCACGGCCTCCCCACCGCCATCAAAACCTCGGTGCCCAATCCAAATAGCTCTGTTTGGTTGTAAAGGATGCTCATGTCTCACGAGCATCGCTAATAGACCGCCAATGCCGAGCTGTCGCTGCCGCCCGGGCGCCGCAACCAGTAGCCTCAATAGCCCCCAGAGTTGCTTCGCGCCACACCCGTAGCCGTTAACTTAACTTTATTTGGTGTCGCCAGTGAAACCTTAACCCCCAGGCTAGACCACCACCCTGAGGCCGTAACTGCTCCCGCCACACGTCACTGGCCCACGCAGACACGGTGGCCCACCGGTCACTCGAAGCGAGACAATGGTCGTTTGCTATGCCGTTCGCCTGGGATCATAGCGGTTAGGCGGCCCGGGCCACACTTCCGCAAAAGCCTTCCAGCTAAATCAACCCTCCCGACCCTCGAGCAGCAGCAGCAGCAGCCCCCCACAAATTACCCCAGCACACCCCACATATCTTATCGGCGCATTTCATTAAACTCGCAACTCACACCAGAAGCGGTCTCACTATCGCGGTGACGGTAGTGACGGCCGCCACTCGAACACGGCGTTTTGTTGACATTCGGAAATATCCCCTAAACAGCTCCGTGGTTCGGCTCCACCGCTTGAGCCCTGTGGAACTCCCAATGGGAGCTAAAGGGCGTGAACACCCTCCCCCTCCCTTTCTCCACCTCGAGGTCACGGACCTCGGCACAATGGTTTATCTGGGGTAAAAAAATAGGGTAACTCGCAGGGCTCCCAACACGGAATTATTAAGGACCATTTCCGACGTTATTATGAGGAGGGGTCATTAGTAACAGAGAATCAATGGCATAAGAGAGAGCACGGTGACAACTATGGCGAGCATCGCTATTTGTTTCCTATAGCCTTTAGTCGTTTAGGCGGAAATCTGTACGGCGCCTGTTGTTACAGGTCCCCGCTTTCCTAATGGGGTATATGCAGCCTAATTAGTCAAAGGCTGTAAAGGCAGTGCGCACAAACACGGGCACGCAACCTCCGACGCCGACATATGCATATCTGTAGGACCGTTGTGGGGTAAGGGAAAGAATGATGTCACCCCGGATTTCGCAGTTATCGCCCCCTGGGGACGAAAATGCCACAAAAGTAACGGGAGCACCACCAGACTTCCTGAGCAAAAAAGCAACGCCGGATACGCGGGGTAGCTCAGGTGTTTAGGCGGTGCCACGCACCCGTTCGTAAACCGTCAATATTTGGTGTTTTGTCGTCAATGCGAAAGGTCATCCTCGCAACGCCAGCTCGACAACGGGGTGGCCGCGAAGCAGCATTACCTCACTCACATACTCGAGGTGACGCCGCACTTCTGGCGAGTGGCACCACTCCCGCGATGCCTGACTAAGGTGAAGAAGGAGTTGCGATTTGCTGTGGTCGGGCCAATCGACGGCGTACCCGTGCTTGTCGAGCATCGACAATGCCCTGCGCACCCGCAGAAGCTTTTCGGCGACGCTTACCTGCCGCTGATCGATGAGCCCGCCGATAATCGTGGGTATGATGGCGCTGAACCGCCGCCGGTGGCGCCGATGATAGTGGATAAGCGGTCCGAGAGCGTCGACATTGGCTCTGACGGAGGCTCGCATCTGCCAGCTGCGGACAACGTCTTTGATTTGAGGGTTGGCAACTGCTTTGACAAATGGTCGTAACTCGCCATTGGTGGCCTCGATATACTCACACATCATCGATGTCATCGGGATCCGGACGTCGTCATCGAGGAGCTCGACCACTGGCCACGCGTGCTGCTCGACAAACGTGCCAGCAATTTGCCACATCGCCTGATATCGTCTCATCTCCCCGACGACGCCTATGGCCTGACACTCAGCCAATATCCTTCGCACAAGCTTCGGGGTAAGCTGAGAATGCCAGTGGGTGGCGCTTATCACCTCAAGCCACACGTTGACCTGAGTAATCGCCAGCAGCTCCACCACCACTGCTAGAGAATCGTGAGGGGCCACCGCTGCCGCCACTCGTTGTAGAAACGGTTTCACCATCGCCACCCGGTCGATGCCAGCACACATCACGTCAAATACCCGCACGTAGTCCTCGGGTGAGTCCATCGCTACCGTTTGCATCATCTGAGACTCCACCTCGAGCCGGCGCTCCGGTGGGAGCTGGACCTCGACTCCCTGGATAAACTGGAGTAGACTAGGCCACTGTAGCCCCACTTCCACGAGCTGGGGCACCGCAATCTCCCTCATCGGCTGACTAGAGTCCTCGGGAGCGTGCTGGTTGATGAGGTCGACCACCCGGGTATTGGCGAGCTGGGGCGCTCCCTCTGTTAGTCGGGGGAGTTTCGCTTGCGGCGGAGGCGGTATTCTCGCCCTGTATGGAGCGCTAGCCACCAACGGTAGTCGTAGACGGACTGGCGTTGGACGCATTAAGGCAGCGATGGTTGATGGTATGGGTGCGAAAACCTCGACCTTTAGGAACCAAGTTGAAACATAACAACACCGGCATCAGGTGATCTAGTGTTACACGATGAAACAGCTTCTATCATGAAAACGGAACTAATTATTTTGTCCATAGTTTCGCTTCTCAATACTACCCCTCAGCCACACTAAAAGTATGGCAAGGCGATGGGGAACAACGAGCAGAGAACTTGGGGAACCACACAATATACCATCATCTACATACAGCTATCTTTACAATTTACACCATTATCAGGTGGTTATTATGGCGTGGTTATCGCCTTAATCCTTCCCTACGGTGAGGGCCGCCCCCCCCCCCCCCCCCCCC